GTGGAAGCATGTCTGTTTTGTCTCTGACTGTCAGACAGCCTGGAGCCTGGCCTGTAGCAGATATACAGTAAGTTTTGGTTTGTGACAGCAAAACCTCTTACTTGGCTTCCTGCTCGAGCTGCTCCTCCAGCTGCCCAATCTTGGCCTCTAGGGCCGAGATGGTGGCCTTGAACTTGGACTTGACAGCACCCTCTAGTTCCTGTAGCTTTGCCTTCAGCTCCTTGTTCTGTCGCTCCAGCTGCTGGCGCGCATTGTCACTCTTCTGGGCAGCGCTGCGCTCAGCTGCTAGCTCTGCATTCAGCGTGTCCACCTGGAGAGGAGAGAAGGCTTTAGTCACTTGTGCAAAGGGGCAGCATGGTCCTTCCCAGGTGACAGGCAGCTGTGTAGGCCACCTGGAGAGTGGTCTTGCGGAAGCGATCGTTGAGCAGCTCCATGTTGCTCTGCTCCTCTTCCAGCTCCTCCTCCAGCTGTGCAATTCGTGCTTCCAGACGACGCTTCTCATCCAGCAGTGCGGACCTGGCCAGGGTGAGGAGGAGGTTTGGCTTGATACCAGGTCAACATGGCCTGGGGAAAGTCAGGGAAGCTCCTTCACCCACCCTGCTGCTAGAAACCTAAGTGTCACTCCTGACTCTTCTCCTTCCCCTGCAGCCATCCCCCAACCCATCAATGAGTCCCACTGATTACACTTCCAAACACTCCCCCCACGCCTGCCACCCTGGTAGCCTTGCAGTGGACCTCCCTGTTGCCGCCCCTGCATCTCTCCACAGACAGCAGCCAGAGCCAGCTCTCAAAATGCACACGAGATCCCAGCAGTCCCTTGCCTAAATTCTTTGTTTTCCAGTGCACTGAGAATATAGTTTCAATGCCTTATCATAATGTGGTCAAAAATTCTCAGCACGGTGATTAAGTGGTGAAATCAACTTAGTTGGGAAAAAAAGATGATGATGTTTAATGAAAAATGAATTCTGAGACAGCTCATGTCTAAGGAACCTGCTTGCCAGACCCAGTGAATTAGGAAGGTAAGCCTTGCACCGCCAGTTTGTAGGGAAACTGGGTCTGCCCGCACCTAACCAAGGCTGCAAGGCCATCAGGAGGGCCAGCCTACGGAGGTGTGATGGCCAGTGGCTGAAGCAGTCCAGGCTCAGCATCTTGTGCTCATCTTTCCAGACCTTGAATGAATGAGCAAATCAACTGGCTCCTAGATGCCTAGGACATGCCCAATCCTCTCAACAGTGGCTGTCCCCAGGGCAGAGAACCACAGGCTGCCTGACTGGAGAGGACAGCCTCCCCCTCCCACCTGCTGCTGCCAGGAGACTCACTTGCCAGAGGCACTGTTGGCGATCTCATCAGCCAGCTCATCTCTCTCCTGCTCAGCGTGCCGGCGAGCTCGCTCAGATGAAGCCAGTTCCTGAAAAAGTTGAGACTGGGATTTAATTAAGCTCTGGCTTTAACAGTTTCCTTGTCTGTGAAATCTGACAATGCCTGGAGCTGCAGCGATCTTGCCCCAGTCACTCTTTACGTGGATCTCAAATTGCAACTTAGATTTGAGAACTTAAGCTGGCGGGCTTGCAGAAGAAAATCTGGGTGCAAGCCAGCCAGGTGATGTGAGGTGTCAGCATCTTAAACAAAAATGTGCACAGAGGGAAGGAAGTCCTAGTCCACTCTTCTGTCACTTCCAAAGGAAGAGAAGGCTATGTTCTTGCCTTCCTCGGAAAGCTGGTGTTTCTCAATACAAACTGAGCACAAACTTTACACAAACCCTAACCCCTAAAGAATCATGAAGCATCTTTCACATACACATTTGGAGGTCACACACACTAGCTAGAGAGACCAGTGACTATCGAGGCAGACGTGTGGTGCAACAAGGACCACAGCTCTAGGGAGAGGCAGGGTGAGTGCGGCCGCAGGGGCTCAGGTGTTAGGAACACTGGCTTCTGCAGCAAGCAGGGCCTCCTTGTCGAAGGGGATAGGCGCCCTGGCTGCTCAGGCTCCACAGGGGCTCTCAGAGGACTGGGCAGGGCAATAAGGATGATGCTGTGTCTGCACCCAGGGGAGAAAGAACTGCCTGATGGCTGCTTTTCCATGTATTTCCTTGGAAGAATGACTTGTCACAGAAAGGAGTTAAGGGTGCGTTTCTCAACCCAACTGGGTAAAGACTGAGGTCGTCACGTTAGGATATGAAAGGGGCATCTCCCTTCTTTTATGGATGAGGAACCCGAGGCCCACATGGATAAAGAACTGCCTGATGGCTGCTTTTCCATATATTTCCTTGGAAGAATGACTTGTCACAGAAAGGAGTTAAGGGTGCGTTTCTCAACCCAACTGGGTAAAGACTGAGGTCGTCACTTTAGGATATGAAAGGGGCATCTCCCTTCTTTTATGGATGAGGAACCCGAGGCCCACATGGATGAAGAGACTGGCCTGAGGTCCCAAGGTTGGTCAGCAGCAGAAAGTCAGGGCTGTCCCTGTCCAGGGTTCTTCCCACCAGCTGCCCCTTCCAAAAGGTACTGCATTTGGCAAGAGCACATCTTGAAGATGTCAGAGGAGAGGGCTGCACAGGAGCTCACCTGCATGCTCTGGCATGTGCACTGCCTCAGATGTTAGCAGCACACAGGAAGTAGGTCCTCCAAAAGGCTTGTGTTCTAGCACAGGGGGCAGGTGGGAGTCAGGAGGGGAAAGGGGGCAGCTTTCCAAGATGAGATGGCCACGGGCAGAAAGCTCTGGGCCTGACCTAAGGCCAATGACTACAGACAGCCATCGGCCTCTGGTGTTCAGTCCTCTTGGGCCCTAGAGGTATCCATTGAGCTCCTGTCTACTGGCTGGGTGTGCTTTCAGCAGGTTGAAGAGACCCTTGGAAGAACGGAAAGGACCTTGGGGACTGTAGACCAGATGAACAGAGGTGCTTGAAGGAAGGAAAAGCATCAGAGAAATGGAGGGAAGGGCAGAGCCAGCTTTCCGGCTCAGTCTCTTCTCCCTAATGCAGCAGATCCCTTGCCTGAAGGTCTGAAATAAACACTTTCAGAAATAACGGAGAGTGCTGGGTGCAGGGAGTGCTGCTTGCACACTTAGGTAATGGCCTGGGAGCTCTCCAAGGGGCAAGATCTAAGAGCCCTATCACTTTTGGGAAGGAGTATTTGGGGATATCACTGATCAACTGCATGATGGATACACAGAGCTTCAACATTCTACTTTACTGATGAATCTTTTCAAGCACACAGGGAACATCTGTCAATACTGACCATGTTCTAGGCCCTAGACTATTCTCAACATTCTCTGACTGCAATGTGATAAAACTAGAAATCAACTAAAAATAAATGCCATACATTTGGAAATTTAAACTACACTTTTAAATTATTCATGGAATAAAGAAGAAACCATAATAGAAATTAGAAAAACTTAGAATGAAATGGCAACAAAATCACGCATATCAAAATTCATAGGATGAAGTGAAAACATAGTTTAGAGGGGAATTTATCATCTTTTTTTTTTCCTTTTTGTCTTTTTTCATGAACAGTAACGGGATCGCAACCCTCTGTGTCGCGCCCGCACCGCGCTCAACCAGTGAGTGGACCGGTCTCTATATGGGATCCGAACCCTCAGCGGGAGTGCCGCAGCGCTCCTAAGTGCCGCACCCTACCAAGTGCGCCACCGGGCCGGCCCCCGGAATTTATCATCTTTTATGAACATAAACAAGAAACTTGAAAATTGGTGAGCTATGTGTCCAACTCAAGAAGTCAGAAAAAGAAAAAAATCAAAAGGAAATAAAGACAAAAGCAAAAAACAATGAAATAGAAAAAGAAGAGGGACTGAAGCCGCATGCTGGCACTCAGGGTAGCTCAGGCTCTGCTCAGTGTTTACTGAGCACATTTTCAGTTCCTTTTTTATTCCTGACACCTAGGGAGCCCCTTTCTTTCCTGCCTTTAGTAAATTTTTATCCAGGATTTCTAAGTGTTTATACTGGGAGTTTTTCCATATTAATATTTCAACGTAAGTTATCTTTCCAAGTATGAATAAGTTTTGATCATCCTTCATTTATACAGAAGGATATACATTTGTACATATTCAAGTGTTCCTTGCACTGATATAATTCCATACTATATGCAATACTGCATTAGCCCTTATCCCCATGAGAACTTACAGAAGAGATAAATGAAAAATAATTTATTACAAGATGATTCCCTTAGGAATTCAATGAAATATATTTCTCTTCTTTTAAGTACCACATGAATACTGCTTCTGTATAAAACAAGGGAATCTCGTATCAAGGTTAAATGATCCTTATGCCTACCAACATAAAGAACAAATATCACTGCTTTTTCTTACATGGGAACAAAGCCTAGCAGATGGCTTGAAAAGTTACTAGTTGGCTCCTTTGTAATGTCAAAGTGTGACCACTTCATGTTTGCTTAACTGAAGCAATGAGATGGTCCAATACCATAATAAAAATGGATATGAAATTACACTGGGCTACGAAGATATTAAAGTCTATCTGATCCTGGAGAAATTTCAAAGGCAAACATTTCTTGAACAAATGGATGAATAAGTAAACAAACAAACCTCCTGCAATTGAAGGATTTCTGCTTCCAGACTCTTTAATTTCTTTTCAGTCTCTTTGGATTGAGCAAAAATCTCATCTCGGGATGCACGAGCTTCTTCTAATTCACGTTG